GTGGTATTTTCCTCTTCATCCCTCATATTGATAAACATCCTTATGGGCTGTTAATCAATTTTCTTAGTCTTTTCAAAGAGTTTATTATAACTCATTGTATAAAATACTCCTTTTTTAATTTTTTCATCTTTTATTTATTTAATTCTTTCTTTTAATACTTGTTTTTATTTTTGCTTTCTCTTATCAAGGGATTTGAATGTGCTGTTGTGTTTTGATGGCAGAAAGTACAAAATAATCCCACCCTATTTCAGAATTACCTATAATAAAGGGTTATTTATTTGGGGGAGACTCAGAGACCACTGTCCTAGATTACAGTTCTCTTTGCAAATGGGGAACAGGAACCGAGTCTAGCAGCTGGAAGCAAGTGAGAGAGTATGCATACTTTACATCTGCTTTCATAGTATAAGAGACCACACCCAAGTGGTCTGGTATCTTAAAGACTATTGGCTGAAGGAGCTGAAGGAGCTCCCACAACAGTGTTTATTTATAAAAATAAAGACATTGTAGTAATTAGAGCTGCGGGGCTGCATCCCCAGCACCCCGGCCGCCTGCACGGCTAGCTTTACCCGAAATAACAACACACAAATTGTATTCATTTAATCACTGCTTGGCCCGTTTCTATCTAGCCTCTTCTAGGCTAATTCTCACGTATTAATTTAGCCCATTTCTAATAATCTGTGTTGCACCCCAAGGTGCGCTTACCGGGAAGATTCTAGCCTATGTCCATCCTGGGTCAGAGCTGAATCGCGTCTGTCTGCCCAGGAGCGGGGCATGGCGTCTCTGCTCCAGAGCAGAGCTGTCAAGTCTGAGCTCACTTCCTCTTCCTCCCAGCATTCTGTTCTGTTTACTCCTCCCACCTATGTTTTAACCTATGAGGGCCAGCCAAGCAGTTTCTTTATTGCTTAACCAATGAAATCAACAGATTGATATATGACACTCCCACATCAAGACATTGTTCCCCATACCCGTTTTTTAATAACTGTACACGCGTGGAAGTTTCCAGAGCACAGCATTAGCAGCATATCCTACGCCTCAATGCTTTGCCTTTTCACTATGTTACTTTGTTATTGCTCTGTTTAGCTCATTCCTAGTATCATTTTATAACTCGTTTTGTTTATTGATATTTAGAAATATGTAAGTGTTAAAATATTTTTGGCTTTCCAAGTTATTTCTTTTTGTCTGACTGCCAATTAAATACTGTCCCTTGGTCTGTGTCTGTAATCCTACCACCCAGGAGAAAAGAATACTTGAGGAGTATAATTGCCATAGTGGTTGGGATGTTATTTGTGTTTGTGTGTGTACATTCATACATATGTACCTTTAGTAGAGCTGCTGAGTTCCTAGGAAGTATCTCTTGTATCTTACTGGCCAGAATTGTGCACATGTTGATCTCTGAGCAAATTATGGTAGCCATGAGCATGATGTATGCAAAGCATTTAACAGAAATCTACCCCTAAACATCTGTTTTTACCAGGATTCCCCAGAAAAATGGAACTAGTAGAAAATAGGTATATATAAACATGCATATTATATGTGTGTGTGCGTGTACACATGTATATGTATTATGTATGAAATATAACTTAAGAAATAAGTACAGTGTGTGGTTTAGCATATAGAAATTTATGCAAAAATATAAATAAGTTGAGTGCTTTTTATTTTTGGATGTTAGATTTACTTTTAATTATGTATATGTGTGTTTGTATTAGAGTATGTATATTTCAGTGTGTACATGAGTGTAAGTGCCCATGGAGGCCAGAGGAAGGTATCAGACTACCTCAGGCTGATGTTACAGAAGGTTGTGAACTGCTATATGGGTGCCGGAAACCAAACATGAAACCTCTGTCATTACAAGTGCTGTAAACTACTGAACCATCTCCCCAGTCCTACACAAAATATACCTCACTCACCCTGCCCACAGCTCTCGTGCCTGCACGCGCACACGTGCCCATGTATGTGTGTGTGGTGTGGTGTGTGTGTCTGTGTGTAGGAGGGTGAAGAAGAAGAGAGAATACTGGTCGGGGGAGGGTTGGCTTCAAGAAATTTGCTCACAGACCTGTGAGGTCTGTCATGTGAAATCTGTTTGGGAACAGGCTGGTAAGTCTGGGGTGTAAAGTAATGTTGCAGTCTTGAGGCAGAATTCCTTCTTCCCCTGGGAAACATGATTCTTTCCTTTTAAGACATTGTAGCTGAACTTCCATTCTTAAAGTTAATGTTTTTTACTTAAAACCCACTCACTGAAAAGGACCTTTATAGCAATGCCTAAACTACTAAACTACTATAGCCTGCCACAAATATCAAGTACCTGGTAGTTTGTTTTTGTTATTTTTTTAATCTGTAGCTGAATTTTTGAGGTCCTATTGGAATGGAGAATTTGGCAACTCAGTGAAGGCTAAAAGTGTCCCTCGAGTAGGCAGAGGTCATGTGTGGGAAGGCTGCCATGCAGCATGGCTTCTGAATTGAGTAACAGAAGGTTACTTACGAACCTCACAGTGAGAAGTTGCAGAAGTGACTGCTTAATTGAAAAGTGCTAGTGTTGTTTTTTCCTTGGTTTTGCTTTTTATTTTATTTGGACTTTCATGTATAAGCTTTGTACATTAGGCTCTTTTATACATAAGCTAACCCATTCTTTTACTCTTGAACTACCTCTTCAGTCCCAAGAGTAACAGTGAATTCTAACTAGTAATAATGTCCAAATATGAATTAGATTACTGGTGCTTACTGGAAATTAAGTTCCAATATTATATATTTCTTAACATCTAGTATAAATAACATATCCAAAGCAATATTTTGCTCACATGGAGTTAACGAGGTAATGGGCACAATTTTCTCTACAGTTATTTTAATATTCACTAATAGTTGAGAAAGGATAGCATCAGGATTCCCCAGAGAAGCAGAATACTTTGGATTTGAATTAATGGTATTGAATTATACTTATTTCTGTATGTATATATAAATGTATATTGTTTCTTATATTTAAATACTTGGTGATTACTTTAGTATATGAAGAACACTTGTTTGCTTAAGTGTCCTAACCACAAATTTCCCTTCCTACTGGCTCTTGAAGGTAAGATTCCCTAGCTGAGCATCTTTTCTTGGCAGAGGGATCTCTTGGGCTCTATTTCTGCTTTTGTTTGATCAGTAGCTTCAGTTCCCAATAATTTTGTGCAGCTACTCAAACAAGCCAATCACATCCTTCTGTGACAACAAGGATGTGCTTTGACAACATACTGCTCCTTCTTCTCTGTGTTCTCACATGGTTTTGTTTCCTTGTCCACAAAATTGTGAGTAGATGTGATTAGTCATCCATATCCAGTGAGGAGTGCTGGATGTTTGGCTATCTCTGCAGCTTAAATTTGGGATCTGGGGGTGATTAGAACAGAATAATTCCTTTTGTTCAGCCCCTACTTATGATATTGGAGTAGGGAAAGATTCAAATTTGAGAATTGGCATAAGTGACTAGTGAGATGTGTTCCAATCCTGAAACTTTATTGTTTTTTTTTTTTTGCTTTTGCAATACAGTTTTATTAGCATTGATATTTTTCTAAAACAGGTAGCGCATTTATTTATCTCTCTATCATTAGCTCCAGCCAGGTTGCTCTGTAAATTGTATCTGTTCCTCTCAGCTGTTAACTCAAAAAACATGACTTACTAGTTTTCCTCTCCCCTTGGTATATTCGCCAGATAGCATAATAACTGGCACAGCAGAAATGCAGCCAATATTTGGCATGGAATCTAAGAGTAATCCAGAAATTACCCTTTCATCCAGAATTTGAGAAAAAATTACCAGTACCAGTGAGCTGTGAATTTTCCCTTAAATGGCATCAGATATAAGTAAATGCTTTAAATGTGAATTGCCTAATGTTGTTAAAATACTAGCCCATTCCATTCACATTCAGAGGGGAGAAAGAAAACTTCAAAATGTTACCCAATTTCTCTTTACTCATTCTCCTTCCAAAATGGATCGTTGATGCCTTAAGACCTCTGCTGAAACCAAAGGGAAGCAGCTTCCTTTGCATAGGAAGGAGAACTGGAATGGCAACATGGTGATCCAAACTTCTTCCTGTCTGTTGATTCTGAATGCTTCATGCCCAGTTTGAAATTCTTGTTGGAAGAAGAATTCTTCAGTAGTTGTTTAGTCCTGTCCTTATTTTATTCCTGACGTATGGAGCTACATAATGCCCCTGTCCTACATACCGGATAAACATGCATAGCAGTCAAATACTGGGAGCGAACATATTAAAAATTTTTCTCATGGTTCTTTTTATTACTTAGAGATTTGTATTTAACAGGTACCTAAAAACTACCTGTAAATGGGGTAGTATGGAATACATGTATACACTCTGTAATGTTTAAATTAAAATACAATAGCACATTGAAAATCCTTCTCTTCTCTAACTATGATTTAGTAACTATACATTGAGCAACCTTTCTTATTTTCTTCTTTCCCCAACTCTTCTCTCATCACTGCAAGGTACCCATACTGACCTCAACTTTGAGATCAGTGTATTAATATTTCACTTATGAATGCAATTTATGTATTACTGTTCTCCTGCACATTCTTCACTCACCTGGCACAATGATTTCCACTTCCACTTCCATCTGCATTGTTGCACACATAGCTGGATTCATTCCTTTTATGTGATTGAATAGCATTCATGATGTGTATGCATGTTTTATTTATATTATTTTGTTTTATGCCTACTGTATTTGAATTTGCTTGTAAGTTTAAGTAATTCTTTTGTAAGAATTTCATGAGCTGCCTTTCTTACTCTTGAATGTAAGAAATTTTTAAAGAATAAAAACATAGCCTGACAAAGGGCTATTTTTCTGATTTCTAAATATATACCTTCTCAAAAACTATAATGCTAAGAAAGTTCATGATACTTTGTGTCTTTATTTGGGGTAAATCATCCAGTGATAGGATGTACTCCCTTCCATTGGTCAGAAATGTAACGAAAGATTAACACAGCAAAATTCTCCTATCTTGGGTTTATTCACAGGAAACAGGTCCAGGCTTTGTTAGGCCAGTTCAGCGAGGCAGAGGCTTTGTTACTAAAAGCTGGAGTGCAGCCAGGAACTATCGATGGAGTTCTTTTGGATCTGGGGTGTTCCTCCATGCAACTTGATGTTCCTGAGCGAGGTTTCTCCCTTCGGAAGGATGGTCCCTTGGACATGAGGATGGATGGAGACAGGTGGGTATTAAAAAAGCATTTCTTTTTACCACACACAAAAAAACCAATTTCTTAAAATCATTCTGAATTTAATTTCCTTGAAGACTGAAAGATTCTCAGCACACTCCCACATCCAGCACTGTCCATACATAGTAAATCAACTGTGTTTGGTGCTTATTATAGACTCAGTATTTCTTTGTTTGGAAAATATTTACTGTCTTTAGAGAATATAGTGAGGAGGTATTCAGAATGAGGAAATCAACTTTTATGGGATTTTTTTTCACCGACAATATGGCTTTTTAATAGTAATTTGGAAAAAATTAATGCTAAAACAATTGCTTCATTTTTGTGCATGTCCAACTATGTATCAGTAAGAAGCAAGAGTAGCTGGATTTAATTGATATTCATTTATAATGCTGCAAAAAAACAAGTCTGACAGGATTCCTGAGGCCAGCAATTCTGTTTTTGTTCTATCTATTATGCAGTCACCCTAGTTGTAGCTTCTCTAAACTATTTGCAGTGTATGGCACTGCATCCTACATCACGACATAAATCAACACAGACTGTTACCTGTAACTCCCCTTCATTTTTTGGTGCTGTAAATATACTAATGCTTATTTACCATAATTCAATTCACATAGATACACAATCCGTTTAATGGCACTATGTTGCATTGTAGGAAAGATTAGGAAAAGTTTCTTTTTCTACATTGATTTTAAAACTTAAATTAGTACTGACATCTGAAGCTACTAGTGGTACCCTGCCAGAATAACCTATATCTCCAAAGTTTACCCCTGATTTTTGTGTGGGCATTGAGTCATGCCATGAATATCCTGTGGTAAATACTCATATATGGCCTTTTACCTTGATATGAGTATTGATATGAGTGCCAAATTTGCATAGTGACATATTTATTAGAATTGTATTGTTTCTGAATCTTTTGCCTTCTTCTATTTGCAATATTAGCATTTATACAACTAAGAATATCATGGTAAAATAAATCCTTTAACAACTAGCATCTAATAGTGAAGATTAGATATTCTCAACTTTGGAAATAAGGTAGGGTTGTATAATAATAAAATGTTGAATAAATCTATACTCTTCCTGTGTCTTGCTGAGGAAGAAAGGTACTTTCTGTAATACAGTGAACAAATCATCTAATTAATAGCAATGAATTACCATATTCTTAATGTAAAGCTTTTTGGTCAAGTTGTAATTTGTAAATCTACATCTATGAGTTTCTCCTCAGCAACTTCAAAATAAGATTGTTCCTGAGAATTAAGCCCTCAAGTCAATACCTTATGTTTGAAATTATAGTTATATATATATATATATATATATATATATATATATATATATAAAAGTTGAAGATCTTCCAGGTAGATCATGTGGACTATGACCTATATGAGTATACAGAACAGGAAAATCAGTGTACTTGAATATATGGGAAAATGAAAGTCATGCATACAAAGATCTGCACTGCACTGCGAATACAAGTAGAAAGGTAGGCCATGGGGGAAAAATTATATTTATATGCACACACACACACACACACACACACACACACACACAGTGTTGTGATCTACCCAACCCCAGAAAGAGATAGATTCCTATGATAAAGACACCCACAAGAGTCATTTTCACGCTGGATCACAGTAGAGTCTTAACTCTGTTTACCCAAATCTCACCAGCCACTACTTTTATATTATATTATCTTCTCATGTAGCAGGGAGGAATTCCAAGCCTCAGGAACTTGAAAGGCTACTTCTTTTAGCAGATATAGTCTTTGTTGGGAGATAATAAACTGGCACCCAAGTTAAGACTTTCTCTTATGATTTTGGTTGTAGTGAGTCAAGGAAATCTTTGGACTGACAAGGGTAAAAATTGTGTTTTCATAGAGGAGCAGTACTTCTTGTTCATCATATTAATGTCTGTTCTAATACAAATTTCTCACCTGCCAACTTCAAGAGTGATGTTCCTTTTGTTTTCTAGCATTGCGGAAACTTCCACATAGATATTTTGTGTTAATGTAACAGTAAGATAATATCATACCTTTCTTCATTAAATGCCACCTGATCAAAATGCTATTTTAAATTTGTTTTTTAAAAAGTAGGAAGTTAGCCGGGCGGTGGTGGCACACGCCTTTAATCCCAGCACTCAGGAGGCAGAGGCAGGCGGATTTCTGTGAGTTCGAGGCCAGCCTGGCCTAGAGCTAGTTCCAGGACAGGAACTAAAAGCTACGTAGAAACCCTGTCTCGAAAAATCCAAAATAAATAAATAAATAAATGTAGAAGGTTATGAAAAACTAAATCCATCCATACTGTCTTATAGTTGCCTTAATAGAGCTAAAGGTCTGAATAGCAAGGATTGTCCCCAGTGGACAGTGGCTTGGGTAACTAAATTCATAAGTAGGTAAAATCTAGCAGGGATTTTTGTCTTTTATAGTCAAAATGATGGCTGGCAAATATATGAATTGGAAATATCTGAAGGTCATGAATGTTTATCGCCCAGTCATTATATTGTCTGTATTTACTATGTTATGTGGGCCTCCTCTCCCAACAATTTTATAATAGAGATAATGATTGTTATATTCATTTTCCAGATTAAAATTGAGAGTCTACTGCATTTAAGACTTTATCCAGTATAACAAGACTGCAATTCCTTTTTAGTTCACTACAACCTTAAAAGAAAGGATCTTCATTTTGCAAGCCAAAAAAAGCAAACCACTGAGATCAAAATTAGGGCTACTATATAAGACATTCATTGGTACAGGGCTTCAAAAGAAAATGAGGCTGACAGTTTGAGAGGGTGGGAAGAGCTGAAGTGAAGAAAGGTGAGGTAATATAATCACATTTCAATTTAAAACATACATAAATAAATAAAAGTAAGCCAAAATGAAAAATAAAATCATCATACATGGAATATGATGTTTCTTACTCCCGAATAAAATAAGAGAAAGAGACTACAAGTTTGAGAGATAGAGAAGCAGACGTGCAAAATGGAGTACAAGGATCAAAGTTTCTCCTGAATGCACAAGCTTGTTAACAAGGTAATAATTTTCCAAGAGAATTTGAGATGTTTTTCAACCTCAATGTCACTTAAACCTCAGGTCTTAATGCTCCTGTATCTTTGGAACTCATGACTGTTCACAGTATGAAACTAATAATCCAACGTATTTGTGTGGGAGTAGTAACTGTACTACTGTCAGATGTTCCTAGTAAGTCAAGTCATGGCTAGCTCATCAGTTAGAATGCTTTGACCCACTTCTCTAATTGGAAATAAACTAGAATGATCTGACAGCGTACACTATTTTATGCTAGTATAATTTAGTCTGTGTGGTCAGAACTTGGATTTTCTTTTTGTACCATACTTGAAAATAATATTTAGGCTTTTTCAATCAGTACCATTTATTTTGAAGCTTTAATCCATGATGACATTTTTCACTGATGCCTGAGCTAATATCAAATATCCAAAACATGCACAGCTAGCATTAGGTCTTTTTAGTTATTGCACGGGGAAGCTGCCTAGTGTCTTTTTGTGTAGACTTTCTAAGTTGGGTTTTGCGGTTGTTCCACATATATGTTCTTTGCTGACATAGATTACTCACTAGCATTTAGACTTGATCAGCTATCATCTGTCAGCATTGTGTCTCCTATTCTAAAAAGAAAAGAATAATTCAATCAGTAACTTAAATTTGAATAAGTTAAATCTAAACATTCTTCTCTTTTATCTTAAGAGAAAGAAAACTACAAGATCATTAATAACTTTTTATGAATGAAAGTTAAAGATTAACAAATTACTATAACCTCCCATTTCCTTGACCTCAATGAATGCTTCAGGTTCCTCTTGCCATAATGATTACTATGTTAAACAGAAACTCTTTCATTTGTGTGCTATTTCAGTCTGCTTCAGAATTTCTTCTAGGCAATGTGTGACAAATGCCTGCGTTCATGTTTCCAGTACTCTGAAGTATCAACTCTCGTCAATGAAAATGGTGTCAGTAAACTGGTTGGCTCTTTTTGCACAGGTATCCTGACATGCCCACTGCTGCTGATGTTGTGAATGCTTTAGATCAACAAGCACTTGCATCCATCCTTAGAGCATATGGAGAGGAGAAGCATGCCAAGAAAATTGCTTCTGCAATCATTCAAGCACGCAGCATATACCCTATCTCTAGAACCCAGCAGCTTGCCAGCATTGTTGCAGGTACCCTCATTAATTCTCTTCGATGTCTAAGAGTAAAAAATTAAATAAATATCTGTTACATACATATGTATATACATACACACACACACACACACACACACGTGTGTGTGTGTGTGTGTGTGTGTCTGTTCCTCCCTGTCTGGCTCCCAGAGGGATTCATTTGTATGTGAAATTTTTCAGAATAGCTTTCTTTATATCTTTCTCAAATGTCAGGTTTCTTTCTTTTTTTCTTTCTTTTTTTAGCTTTCTCTCTTTGACTGCTCTAATACTGCACACACCTTTTAAAAATTATTTGCCATAGGTGGTTGATTAATATAATAGAAATTTTATATGCGGTAATTTATCATCTGTGCTGACCAAGGTGAAAGATGGAATGACAAGGTTTAAAGAATGTCTTGATCCATCACAGTGGTTGATTAGCATCCTGTATGAGTTTTGTCATTACCGCTCATATTTCTGCATTTTAATATTTCAGGCAAAAGGGGAATTGCATTGCCCGACTGCTAAAATAAAACTCAGTGACTCATACATCTATTCTAAACAATCAGCTAACAAAGGGTATGTGATGTATAGGTTATTCTGCTTTGTGGATGCTAACTAAATCAGCCTAAGGGACTTATTGAAACATTTCATCTTTTCTGCTGTTCACCACCATAAACCTCTTGAACCGGATTCTAGCTATGAGGTGCTTTTTTGTACCCTTTCCATTTGAAGCCAAAGCTGTTTCACAGCTATGTTTTGAAGAAAGTTTCTCTAAGTAAAAATGCAACTCCTGCAGTTATTTAACAGAATTACGGTGGTAAATTATTCATCTTGTTGAACCAACAAAAATGCTGTATCACTTTTATATACCAAAAATATTAAGATTGTTTTTATTGTTTCTTATTAAATTATGCAAGTAATAAGTAAATACAAGACATAGTATAGCATTTTAAAATTACTCAGTATTGGCTAAGGCTATCAATACTAGATGGAGTTTAAGGAATAAAAATGATAAATTCACTCAAATCATTAAACTGTCTTATAATAATTGTTTATAGCATAATTAAATAATATTATATTCTATTTAACATAATAAAGTATAAAGAATTTATTAAGTCTTTAATATTTTAAGGTGTCTTTGTCAGGCCCTTCCCAATTTAATACCTTGTATTGAAGTTGGAGCAGAATTCATATTGGTTTTTAAACATACAGTATTTTATGATTTTCCCCCAAAAGATTTTATAGAAGCATTTTAGCAAGTAACAGATTCACCTTCTCCTTGTATATGTTGCCCTTCTCATTCTTTACTCACCAGGCATCTCTACTTCTCCTTGCTGTCTTTAAGAAGGACTGCATGCCATTTTCTGGGAGAAATCATATTATTTATTCATAAGAAAACACAGTTTTGTCTGGTACTCAATGAGGGTTTGTAGCTAACGAGCACCCCAGAGATTGTTCTGTTGAAACATTTATCTCAGAACTTGTGAAATCAGTTCTAAAGAGGACCAATGGTTTGCTCCAGACCACAGTCTAATTAAGGACAGTTAGTACTCATTAAAATTTAGGAGACAATGAATATGAGACATAATTGGGAGTATAGCTTTAAGAAATTAAGTTACTTGTTTTGTTTCTGGATCTTGATCTGTGAACTTGGTGAAATACTTTGTGTATGTGATAGAAATGATATGAACATATATAACAGGACCAATGTAACTATTCCTTGGAATATTATAATGCTAAGATCACATTAATGCTATATTAACAATGAATTAAAAGTGAGAATATTCACATATAGCAAGGAAAAAGTTGTTAGTGGCATTAAAAGTTCTCTGAGTCTGTTTTTATGTTTTTAATATCAGTTAATAGAAATACAACTGTATTGAGAGCAATATGACTTTTTGAAAAAGCAAAACCATGATATTTCAGAAAGAGAAAACTTTGACATACCAGAATTGAGCCAAGAGAATAGAAACTTTAATAGATCTATAGCGAGCAATGAGATTAGAGTTTTCCAACTAAAACAGTTCAAGTATAGATGTATTCTCTACTGAATTCTATGAAACCTTTGAAGAACTAAGCAACTCTACATAGAACTACCCATAAAATAGAAGGTGAAGAAATGATACCAAGTTCATTTTATCCAAGCTGAATATATATAACAAGAACAAAAATAAATTATGAATCACTCTCTGTTCATACATGCCACATTTTTAATTTTTTAAATTTTAAATTATAATTATATGATTTCCTCCCTCTAACCCATCCCATATATCCTCTCTTGATCTTTTCAAATTCATGGCTCCCTTTTCCATTCATTGTTGATGGTGTATATGTGTGTGTTTCTAAGTACATAACCTAACCCTGCTCAATATGTATGTTGCTTGCATGCATGTTTTTAGGATGAACATTTGATATTGGATAATCAGTTGGTGTCCTCTTCCATGAAAAAGAATATTTTCTTCACACCCACTAATCCTTGGTCATCTGTAGTATTTTGTATAGTGCTGAGGCCTCCTGGCTTTCCTCTTCCACTTTAGCATCGGCGTTGTTGGTTTCCTTGTTCAGACCAATCATGTTGGTAAGACTATATGGGTGTAACACTCTGTCATTACTAGGAGACACGATCTCACAGCCAACACCTTTTTTCTCTGCCTCTTAAAATTATTCAACCCCCCTCTTCTACAAGGATTACTGAGTCTTAAATATGTGAGTTGTATTGTAGATGTATCTGTTAGTGCTGGACTCTACAAATCTACATTTTGATTAACTGTGGTTTTCTAAAATGGTCTTTGCCTATTGCAGACAGAATATTTCTTGATGAGGGCTGAGAACAACACTTTGTGTGGGGATAAGGACAAATATTTAGACTGCAGTTGGGGATTATCCTCGTTGAGTAAAGCAGTGGTTGTAAGCTCTTAGAGCCAGGACATCACCAGCTCTGGTCAGTTGGGTAGGTTTTCAGTGAAGAATTGCAAACCAAATTCAACAACACATTCAACTTTGCAGTGTTAAGATAAAGTCTTGCTTCAACCAAAAGAGTCCTGTGTTCATAGCATTTACTACTGACATTAGATAACTGAACTAAATATTCCATAGAATGATGAAATATTGATTATGAAATAGACATACAGAGTAGGTTGTTTCTTCACAGTACTCTTTTTTTGGTTGTGCAGAAGCCTTTTAATTTCATGTAATACAATTTATCAATTCTTGACATTATTTCTGAACATGTTTGAGACTTTTTCAGACAGTCAGTTCTTACCAGGACCAAATGGACTTTATTTCAAGGATGCAAGGATTGTTCAAAAAACACAAATCAATAAATGCAAAGCGCCTTATGACTACATCCAATGACTGAAATTGCATAAATATCTCAATAATTACACAAAGGTCTTTGATGGAAACTAAAATACCCTATTGATAAAACCCTTAAAAAATAATAATGGAAGAAACATTTTTTCTCTTTTTTGATTTTCGAGATAGGGTTTCTCCGTAGCTTGCTTTTGGTCCTGTCCTGGAACTAGCGAAACATTTCTTAATATAATAAGAGTATATATACCACATCTATAGTCAGCATTTACTCAATGGAGAAAACCTGCAAAAATTTTCGCTACAATGAGGAATAACACAAAAATATCTTCTTTCTTCATTCATCCAATATTGTCATTAAATCTTTACTAGAGTAATAATACATATTTATTATATCATTAAATAAATTAAAGTCATATAAATAAAACAGGAAGAAGTAAATTCTTCTTGAAGATGACAGGATCCTATACATTTAAAAAAAATGAAGATTCTAGTAGAATCTTGTAGAAATTTCTGGTGGAAAACTTTGAGCTGATTAACAAATGATAGTATACAATGTTAATATATAAATCAACAGTTTATGAATATATTGATAACAAATCACCTGAGGAGGAACTGAAGAAAACAAACACTTTGGTAACAATTTCAAAAAATGAAACAAATGGAGTTGAAGAGATGGGTCAGCTGATAAGTACTTGCTGCACAGCATGAGAGCATCTTTTATCCAAGAACTCACTTCAAAATGATGAACATGATTATCATAGCCAGAACCTGGAAACAACCTAAATGCTCCTCAGCCGAAGAATGGATAAGGAGTATGTGGTATATTTACACAATGGAGTACTACACAGCAGAAAAAAATAATGACATCTTGAGTTTTGCAAGAAAAATGGATTGAGCTAGAAAACATCATTTTGAATGAGGCAACCCAGACCCAGAAAGACAATTATCACATGTACTAACTCATAGGTGGTTTTTAAACATAGAGCAAAGAAAACCAGCCCACAAATCACAATCCTAGAGAACTTAGACAACAATGAGGACCCTAACAAAGACATACATAGATCTAATCTATATTAGAAGTAGAAAAAGAGAAGATCTCCTGAGTAAATTGGGAACATGGGGACTTTGGAGGAGGATTAAAAGGGAGGGTAGAGGCAGGGAGGGAGCAGAGAAAATGTAGAGTGCAATAAAAATAAAATAATAAAATAATAATGAACATGAGCCAGGCGGTGGTGGCACACACCTTTTATCCCCAGCACTCGAGAGGCAGAGGCAGATGGATCTCTATGAGTTTGAGGCCAGTTGGGTCTTCAAGAGCTAGATCCAAGACAGGTTGCAAATCTACAGAGAAACCCTGTCTGGAAAAGAAAAAAATGATGACCTTGGTGGCACATGTGTGGTAGCCCAGTACTGGGAAGGTCAAGTCAGGGGGAACCATCATCAGACAGCCTGGTCAACTAGGCAAGATTCAAACCTTGTTTGAAACAAAGTGGCAGGAGTGGTGCTGAAAAGATAACTCTATGGGTGAGGGTTCTTCCTCCTCTTTCAGAGGACTCACGTTTAGTTCCCATCACCCCCATAGCAGACAGACTCACAGAATCTCAAAAATAGACATATAAACACAAAATAAATTATTTTAAAAATAGCAGGTAGATAGCACCCGAGGAATGGCACTTGAAGTTGGTCCTTGGCACCTCACACTCATG